ACTTTTCAGGTAGAAAAACACTGAGGAACAGCTAAGAAAGTGAACAGTCAAGCCCTGGGCTGGGAGAAAACACGTGAACACAAGCGTCTGACCAAAGACTAGTATTCAGGATGTATAGGGAACCTGTGTCATTCAGTAGCAAAATGATAAATAGCCCAATTTTAAAAAGGGCAAAATATGTGAGCAGATGCTTCACGAAAAAAGCTGCATAAATGGCTGATAAGTACAGAAGATGCTCACCCATCACCTGATGTTAAGTGATAGACTTTGGATGTGTTGTCCCTGCCAAAACTCATGTGGACATATGATCCCCAATGTGGCAGTGCTGGAAGCTGTTTGAGTCATAGGGGCGGATCCCTCATGAATGGATTAATGCTCTCCCTGGGGGAGGGGGGGTAGGTAGTGATTGAGTTCTCGCTCTGTTAGTTTCTGCGGGAGTTGATTGTTTAATAGACCCTGGCACCTCCTCTCTCTCTCTCTCTCTCTCTCTCTCTCTCTCTCTCGCTCTCGCTTGCTTCCTCTTGTCATGTGATTTGCTCGTACAGGCCAGCTGCCTGCCAGTTTCCACTATGAGTAGAAGCAGCCTGAGGCCCGTGCCAGATTCAACTGTCCCAGAATCGTGAGCCAAACAAACCTCTCTTCTTTATAAATTACCCAGTCTCAGGTATTTCTGTTATAGCAACACAAAGTGGACTAAAACATTAAGGAAACACAAATTAGAATGAAGTAGCAGACATACCCACTAGAAAGTCTCAAATTAAAAAATTATATATAATTATATAATTATAAAATTATAAAAAGAAATTATAAAATACTGACAATAGCAGGCACTGATGAGAATGTGGAGCAACTTGGGCCGGCCCGTGGCTCACTCGGTAGAGTGCGGTGCTGATAACACCAAGGCCCCGGGTTCGGATCCCATATAGGGATGGCCGGTTTGCTCACTGGCTGAGCGTGGTGCTGACAACACCAAGTCAAGGGTTAAGATCCCCTTACCGGTCATCTTTTTTAAAAAAAAAAAAAAAAAAAAAAGAATGTGGAGCAACTGGAACATTTATACATCAAAATGGCATAACCACTTTGGAAAACAGTTCGGCAGTTCCTTATGTTCCAGAAATTTCTTTTCTTTTTTTTTTTTTCCTTTTTGTCTTTTTTCGTGTCCGGCAACAGATCGCAACCCTCAGTGTCGCGCCCGTACCAGACTGGGACCGTCAACGGGATTGCAACCCTCGGTGCTGCACCCGCACCTCGCTCAGCCAGTGAGCGGGAACCGGTCTGTATGTGGGATCCGAACCCTCGGCAGGAGCGCCACTGCACTCCCAAGAGGCACACTGTAGCAGTGCGCCACCGGGCCGGCCCATGTTCCAGAAATTTCACTTGTAGTTTTCTAGCCTGTGAGAAACGGAAACATATGCATTTGTACATACATGTCCAGTTTTATTCATAACAGCCAGAAACTGAAAACCACACACGTCTCACTCATTAACAGGTAAACAGGCAGTGATGTATTCACACCACGGAATATTATCAGAAATAAAAAAGAATGAACTTCTGATGCACACCACAACATGGATATTTAAAAATATTATTCTGGCTGAAAGAACCAGAAATAAAGGAGCACATCCAGTATAGTTCTAGAAGCAACCTGAAGTGTAAGGCTGCTGAGGGTGGGAGTGGGCATGAGGGAGCTTTCCTAGTCACGGCACTGTCCTCAACTGCCTTCTACCCATTGCTAACTGGATGTACTCGAAAAAAATCACCAAACTCGGTAACACCAAAGTCAAGGGTTTGGATCCCCATACTGGCCAGCTGCCAAAAAAAAAAAAAAAAGATAAACAGCCATCCAACTTTTTACTCAATGGTTCTTAGTATAAGTAAATCAGATCTCAATAAACTTGATTTTAAAAACCAGGGTGGTGGTTACCCTTTTGGGGAATAGTACTGGTGGGAGTGCCAGGACCTCTGGGGTGCTGGTATTATTCTGTCTCTGAATCTGGGCATCAATTACAAGAGGGTGTTCCTTTGTGTCAAATTCAATAAGCTCTATATTTACGTGCCCTTTCCTCTACTTAAATTATTCTTTAATTAACAACATAAAATAAACAAAAAATTCAGCAGGAGAAAAACAAAGTGAAATTGTGAATAGGCTTACATTCAATTTATCCCTTCTCCCACCTAATTTGGACAAACTTTTAAGTGCTGCACTATATGGTTTACCTCAGTTGGTAATTATCATTTAGACAGTAGGTAGGTAGTATAGTAAAGTCCAGTAATTCAAAAACTTCTAGTTTCAAATGAACTTCTCTCTGGGTCTTTAAATTGAAACTCCCCATTCTGCTTTATAAAGGAAGTCACGTCACGGTCCTTCTGATTGGCCTTCAGCCCACTGAGCCATTGCCATGAGCAGCAAGTGGCCTTTGCGTGGAGCTGCCAGCTCCATCCTCCCTTAGGTGGCTACACCTCACTTCTCAGCTGCAGCCCACATGCTGATGCAACACTGTCTCTTCACCTGTTCTCATAACCAAAACATATTTCTTTTTCTTTGGTTTACAAAGAAGGTGTAAGACTTACCTGCAATTCTTTGTGCTAAAGGACAAGGAGCTCTTCCTGAAAAGTCAAATCATGAGGCAAAGGCATTAACTGAGGTAAACCCTCACTCTGAGTCAGTGGTTCTCAACTCGGGTAACTCTGCCCGCCCTTCTTCCAAGGACAGCTGGAGACAGCTTTGGTCATCACTGTTGGGAGGGAGGTGCCACTGGCTTCTAGTGGCTAGAGACCAGGGGTGATGCTAATATCCTACGGAGCACAGATCAGCCCCACACCAAAGCCCCTCACAACGTTATGTGAGTGCCTCACCATTTACACTGGGCTTACCGTGTTTAATACTCATGACCACCACCTCACAGATGAGAAACTGAGACTCATGAGGCCTGAGAGTGCCAAGAGCAAGAAACAACTCAGGAAGATGACATTCCCTCAGTGCTTTCCTCAGATGAAGGAAATGATACATATCCAAAGATGAAACTGATTTGGCACACATGAGAATATATATTTATCTGGAGAACGTGTCCTCAAATCTCTCCCTTTGGGGTTTCTGTCCCTGAGCCTTCTCTTTCCCAGAGTCCCCACTGCTGCGGATCCCAGTTCTGTCTGCTCCTGGCTCCGTGGCTCACAGAGATTCTACGGAGACTGGGGTGGGTCTGGGAGACCAATGCTAACAGTTCCCTTAACCAGTGAACCCCACGAGAAAGGCTCCCCTCAGTCAGGACTGACTATCACAACGCCAAGACTGCAAAGGTGACTCTTTCATAGACGAGCAGCACTATTCCCATTATTCCTATCTGAAGCTTTGCATTTAGTAAGTGAAGACAGAATGAAAAGGTTAACGTATGCTGGGCTGTCCTCCTGTGGTAAAGTCCTTGACTTTTTTTTGAAGGCGAAGAAAGAAAAGAAACTAATAATTAGGGCCGAGCCCGTGGCGCACTCGGGAGAGTGCGGCGCTGGGAGTGCGGTAGCACTCCTGCCGCGGGTTCGGATCCTATATAAGGATGACCGGTGCGCTCACAGCGCTCACTGGCTGAGCGCGGTGCGGCCGGTCTCAAAAAGGACAAAAAAAAAAAAAAAAGAAACTAATAATTAGAGAGAGTTTTTCTGATAATTATTGAGAGCTTTCCTGTATGTTACTTTATCTGACAAGTCACCTGAAAAATGTTAAATGATTTGAAGATTAGAACCAAAAGAAAGGATATTACAACCAGAACTTTACTGGTAATACCTTTTTAATAGGTCAAATTAACTGTACAGTTCATTATATTCTTCCTGAGAATAATTTATATCCCCCAACACACTAAAGGGAGGGTATATTTTTCAAAATTACTTAACAGAATGGATGGTATAACTGGACATCAAATGAAAACCAAATCCCTCTGTTTTGCTTAATTCTCTCCTGGGAAGACAGACACAATGAAGGGTTAGTTAACTCCAGTGGCTGTAAAATAGTCAACATGGCTTTAATCTTTCTTTATAAATTATATAAAAATGGAAAACAGGGATGGTTCTGGAACTTCTCAATGCAGTTTGGAGGTGCTCTGGTACAAAGCATTTCTGCTTCCAAGAGAAATAACATTGCTACAAAAAACTGGCACATTATTCTGGTGAAAAAAGACAAGAGTTTTTAGTTGTGTTCTACAGGTAGTTTCCAACCTAATGCTTCACATATCCACATGAAAGTAAAAGGCAGGAAAGACAAAAAGTCACTTTTTCTGAAATGACTCAAGTCTTCAAAATAGAGCTTTTATGTTCTTTCTTTGTAAAGTAGGATTAGCATATTGCAACTGAAGGGTGTTCTAACAAACAAAAATTCCAGTCTGGATAATAATTCTATGGTGGGCAAAAGAATTCTCAGCCTCTTGGGTTTCCTGGAATTCTTCACTTCATACTCTCTTCTTCCAATATGCAGCTAAGGTAGTTCAGGAATTAACATGTCACACCCTTGGCCATCTCCATTAAAACACACCCTAATGTGAGCATAAACTGTTTCTTCATGATTCTTAAAAGCTTCTTACGAACAATTTTCATTCTCAGAAAAATGCCACATTTTGTATCCCAGACTTTTTTGAACATTCTGACTTAAAAACAAAAAACAAAAATCAGAAAATAAACCCAAATCAAAATGTGGTTAAACTTATATGGGAGAGAAGATTTTCAACCAGCTGTCATTCAAAAAAGTTGGAGCTGTAAGTGCTGGCGACTGAAGACACAGGGCTAATTCCTTGCTGCTGGTGGAAGGCTAGAGAACATCCTGGAAGGAGTGGAAAGACGTGTTCCCTGGGGCAGGCTCAGTGCGGTCTTGTCTGCCCAAGCATTTTTAGTCTTGCTTGGTCAATGACGTCCAGTAAGTTCTTGGCGTCCACAGCCAGGGCGTGAGCAGCAGTCAGCATCTGCTTCTTGTACTCCTGCTGGAGGCTGGTCATGACATACTGCTGGGCCAGTTTAGTGGAAAGACGTGTTCCCTGGGGCAGGCTCAGTGCGGTCTTGTCTGCCCAAGCATTTTTAGTCTTGCTTGGTCAATGACGTCCAGTAAGTTCTTAGCGTCCACAGCCAGGGCGTGAGCAGCGGTCAGCATCTGCTTCTTGTACTCCTGCTGGAGGCTGGTCATGACATACTGCTGGGCCAGTTTCATCTTGTTGATGAGCTCGCCCAGGTCAGAGTTCAGCAGCTTCTGCGCCATCTCAATCTATAAGGATAAGACACAGGTCAGAAGAGCTGCTTCCAGTGAACTTTTCTGGGGACTTTTAGGTGCCTTCATGAGAAGAAACTTTATTTCTTCCCCTCAAATAAAGCTTCCTTAGGAGCAACAGAGTGTAAAATAAATCTTTTCTTTAGAAATTCAGCCAATATAGTGTGGCTTTGTGTGTGGACACCCCTGTGTATACATGCCTGTGAGTGTGCACATGCGTGTGGACTCCCACGCACATAAATACTTGTGCGTGTGCATGCACATGTATGCATGTCTGTGTGTGTGCATGTGTGCATGCCCCTGCATATGTACACCTGTGTGCATGCCCATGTGCATGCATGCCTGTGTGTATACATGTGTGTGCATGTCCATGTGTATACACGCCACCTGTGTGTGCATATCCAGCAGTCTCTGCTCTTTCCATTTGAAGTCCTCACTGACACTATGACTGGCTTATTCCCCATTTTGCATTCATTATTCAGACTTTATAAATTTCAAGTGACAGGTAGGGCTTTTCCTTGTTTCATAATAGAATCATGGAATCTGACACAAGCTCAGAGATCACCTAGTCCAAACACTCTCACATCAGAGAGTGGACAACTGAGATAAAGAGTGACTTGCTGAAGGTCACACGGCTCATGAGTGTTCAAACCAGGATGAAAGGCTGGGCCTTCCCTTCCAGTCTTGTGCTCTTTCTGCTCCACCAGCTCTGCCGCACGCCTTCCTTTGCTAAGCAAAAGGTGGTTTAAGAAGGTCATGAGAGACTCTTGACTGCCTTGATGTAAGCTCTAGATTCTTCTACACTTATCAGAGGCTGGAAGTGGGCAGCAGTGGAGGATGCAGCATAGAACACGAATGCAGCCCCAGGGTTAGAATGCTTGGCTTGGGGGAGTCTCATGACCCTTCCTGTCTGTTTATTCAACCAATAATGATTTATCCATTTGCTCTTTTAACAATTATCGAGCACTTATTATGTACAAGGCACTTGGTGTTGTGGACACAAGAATGAATCAGATATATCTGTACTCACACTCCAGTGTGGGAGAAGCATGCACAGACCACCTACAATACAGTGGAATAGACCATACAACAGAAATGCACACAGAAGAGGGTGGTTCATTCTGTCTCAGCGGGTCAGAAAGATTTCACAGAGAATTTCTATGAATCTGGCCTAGATTGTAAAAGTGGGCGGGCTTCAACCATGAAGGGCCTTATAAGCCATGCCAAGTTGACCTTTATCCTGCGAACTTGGCAACGGGGAGGCATAAGCGATATTTAGGAAGGGGAATAACATAATCTAGAGAGATGTTCTAGACAGACGGGCTCTGGTGGCGGTATGGAGGTTGAATGGAGCGGGGAGACAAGGAGCCAAGAACAGCAAAGAGACTGTCACAGTGATTTGGGGCAGTGAGGATGAAGACTGATGAATGGCTGAAGGTGCGCGTGAGTGCGTGTGCGCGCGGGAGTGTGGAGGGGTTGACAGGGCAGGGGTGGCGAGGGCATGGCAGTGCTGCTGATTATGGAAGCAAAGAAGGAAAACCAGGTCATTCCTGCCAGTAGCAGATGTTCACAGACAGCAGGTGACCAGAGCTCGGGGAGAGGTCCTACTAAACATGGATTTGGGAGGCATCAAATATTCAGATCTATGGAAGTGGGGAGAACTACCAAGACAAAAAAGTACTCTTTAAAAAACAAGTGGACAGCACCATGGGGGATAATGACATTTACGGGTGGCAGAAAAAAGAGTCAGGGGAGGAGTCTCAGGAGAGAAGCAGTTAAGGAAGGCTAGGGACCCAAAGGGCGGCAGGGGGTGGGGAGGGCAGTCCTCCAGGGGGGACAGGACTTAGAGGAGAGCAGTGACTCTGCCTGCAGTCATGAGGCCTCTGGAGACCTTGAAGGGCAGTTGTGGCAGAGAGAATCTGAGACAGCTGGAGCTGGGCTGGGCATGGCTGCTGATGAGGCGCTGGCCCAGCTGGGACAGGCCACTCCGTCAGGAAGTGAGGTGGGCAGGTGGGAGAGGGGGCAGGGGAAGGGGAAAGCAGGGTCAAAGAAAGGCCCTTCTTCTAAAAAATAAATAATTATAAAAATAATTTATATAAGAAAGCAATCTGTGTGTACAAGAATCAGGTAGATGGTCAGATTATTTTAAGCTTTATTAGTAGGCACTGACAAATGGTCCTGCTAAAACACTTACTTGCTAGCCTCTGGCATATGGAACTTCTCCAGTGTGGAGCAAAATTGTTACTGATCATCAGAGCCCCAAATAAAGCAGGTAAACTAGCTGCTCCCCTATTTGGCTAGGAATGTAAAGTGACAACCAGTCAGAGGCATTTTCTAAAATGATTTAAATGGCTTTGTGCAGGTGAAATGCCAATTATAATGGAACCATGACAAAGCTGTGTACAACTGAACTTCAGGAGTCAATGCCAGGCTCATCAAAATGAACATCACCTGGACATCACGTGCCTCCTGATATGGTATCCTGAAAAGGACTCACCACCACTTATGTTGTATTCCCAGTTGGAGATATAAAACCTTGATCTAATCAGAAGGAAACATGATTTTTTATATAATATCCCTCGACATAACTTCAAGATGCTCTATAGAACAATTGAGCCTATATTTGTCAAAAATGTCAATGTCATAAAAGATAAAGCCAGGGGGCCGGCCCGGTGGCACACTGCTACAGTGCACCGCTTGGGAGTGCGGCGGCGCTCCCGCCGAGGGTTCGGATCCCACATACAGACCGGCCGCTCACTGGCTGAGCGAGGTGCGGGCGCAACACCGAGGGTTGCGATCCCGTTGCCGGTCCCGGTCCGGTCCGGGCGTGACACTGAGGGTTGCAATCCGTTGCCGGACACGAAAAAAGACAAAAAAGGAAAAAAAAAAAAAGATAAAGCCAGGCTGAGGACCTGCTTCAGATGAAAGGAGGCTAAAGAGATAGGATGTGCAAGGTCACATGCATGGTATAATCCTGTGCTGGCTCCTGTCCTAGAGGGAAGAGTATTACAGGGACAACTGACAAAACTGGAACACGCCTGCACAGTGGAAGCGTATACTTCATCAACGTTAAGGTTCCAGAATGTGCTAACTGCATAGTGGTTATGCAGAAGAATGGCCTCATTATTGAAAACACAAACTGAAATATTAAAGGGTAAGAGGACGTGACATATGCAATCTACCCTCAAACGGTTCAGAAACAGTAAATTATGTGTGTGTAGATACAGAGATAGATGAAGGAGAGAGAGTGCAAATGTGGAGAAATGTTAAAAGGCTGTGGAGCTAGAGAAGGATACTTGGGAATTCTCTGTATTAACTCTGTAACTTTTCTGTAAGTTTGAAATCATTAAAAAGTTAAAAAGCAAAAACAAAACAAAACAGTGCACGCTGGGCTGAAGGACAGCCCATGGCACTCTCAAGAGAAAGGAGAAAAGTGGGCAGCTGGAGCTGGAAGGGAAGAGGCCTGAGATGAGAGGGAGCAGGACATGCCCCAGGTCACACCTGCAGACTGGAGCTGCCGGGAGCACAGTAAAAGAATGCAGGTGCTTCCTTTCATTTGTTAGTCATATCAATGAGGCAAAACTGCCAAAACGTAGCACACATGATGACTGTTGCTGGGAGACAGTACTTTGGGTGAACTGTGATTCCTTAAAAAAATTTTAAAAACACATTAATTAATTTAAAAGCAATTTTCATATCACTACTTTAAATGAAAGTCTAGTATCACTTACAAACACTCATATTTTTAAGAAGATGATTCAACCAAGGAGATTACAACGCCTTCCCTGTTCACCTTAGCATTCTTCCACCTTCGAAGATCTTGGTACCAACAGCAGCTTCCTACCTACTCTCCTCATCCACTGCACACAACCACCCTGTGTTTCACGTGAGGACTCCACACGGTGGCTCTGCAGCTAGCTGGCTGGCAGCGTAAGAGCCAAGATCTGGAACCTGAGCCTGTGCCCCCCACAATGCTACTATGCCCTACAATGAATGGCGAGTCCTGGCCACGGTCAGTGTTACCTAGAAGGTCATCTCTGCACAGCAGCCAACACCAGTCCCTGCTGTTCAGGACTGAGGAGCCATTGTCAGCACCACAGCCATCTCTGGGTGTGCCTCTAACTCAGTACCGTGGATAGCATAGGAAGGAAGAAACTGTGCCCTACCTCTCGGTGCGTGCTGGCTGGCAGGACGGGAATGGTCTCATCCACAGTGGCCAATAGTGTCCTCAGGGCCAAGCCGACTTCCTAACAGAAGAGAATCACAATCAGTATCAGAATACACATAAAGGAGTTTCATACCCACACTGACAATTTTTTCTTTTGGTTATTTTTTTATTTGTTTCTTTCCCACCAGTTCTAAGGAATACTTCTTTATCTTTTTCTCAGTGCTCAGCCCCATCTTGTAAGTTATGAGGCTCTTTTTTCCCCCAAAAGATTCAGATCTCTGACTACTCATCACTCTAATACCCTACGGAATGGGTCAATGAACAGAAGCTCATGTAAGAAGCTACACAGATGTCAGAGTTGGAAAGCAGGATTTTTTTTTCCCTTCTCCTCTAGTGCTTCCAAGCAGATCACAATACCCTGACAGTTCAAAAATGTCAATCCTAGCAACACAGGTTAGAATAAACAATAGCACCTTTTCTCAAGTGTTCTCTCCCAGGTACTTCCAAAAGCGTCATGAGCTGGCAAAAAAGATGTCACCGTTGCCCCAGGTGCAAGGTGGTAGCCTTGCTTCGCAACCTGCTGTGGATTGGATTTCCCCCAAACTCACTGAAAGTTAATCCCCGTTCTGACAGTGTTAAGAGAGTGGGAAATCCTATTATGGTAATTGAGAGGGGGAGGCTTCAGGAGGTGATTAGATTGTGAGGACCATGCCCTAGCAAATAGATTAATCCACTGATGATTTACTGGTGGTCAGGTGGTCATGGGCGTGGCTCTGAGGGCTTTAAAAGGAGGTGTGAGGCGTTAGCTCTCTCTTGTTTTGGCCTTTCTCACACGGTGATGCCTTGCATCCCTGAAGTCACCACTAAAGGCCATCCCCAGATGTGTTCCTTGGACTTTGGACTTCCCAGCCTCTGGAACTGTGAACAAATATTATTTCTTTACAAATTACCCAGGTTCAGGTATTTCTGTTATAAGCAACAGAAACAAACTAATACAGAACGCATTCCAACTACAATTAAAAACTCCTTAATTTTAAACTTCAAATTTTTTTTTTTCCTTTTTGTCTTTTTTTGTGACCAGTAACGGGATTGCAACCCTCGGTGTCGCGCCTGCACCACACTCAACCAGTGAACGGACCGGTCTCTATATGGGATCCGAACCCTCGGCGGGAAAGCCGCCACGCTCCCAAGCGCCGCACTCGGTAATACCGAGTGCGCCACCGGGCCGGCCCTAAACTTCAAATTTTAATTATTGTCATTCCTATAAGGATTGAATATGTAATGACTAAGACACCAAATTATACATGCAATATAAATAAAGCCAGTAAGAAAATGATAGAGCTACCTATACTTGGGTCAGCATGCAAAGGGTAACATCTGGCCAAAGTAAAATGGTTAAAAAAGTAACTCCTATAAAATCACCATATAAAATCTTAACTCTGAATGCTTTTGTTTCCTGTTGAGTTTTTTGTTTCTATAAACTTGGCTTTGGGTTCATGTAAGTTAATCCTTATAAACTTTGGTTCTGTTATGAGAGTAGTTAAAAAAAAAAAAAAAAAAAATACAACCCCCCCCCCCGAATGGATTAACTGTACTTTGCATGAAACATCACAACTTTCAAGCAGCTTTTTCCACCCTGAGGATTTATAAGAAGCTGTTGCAGAGACTGCTAGTAAGTACACTAAAAAAGTGTGCTCAACCCTACAATTCAACAACCAAAAAACAAACAACCGGATTAAAAAACAGGCAAAGGACTTGAATAGACATTTCTCTAGGGATAGACAAATGGCCAAAAAACACACGAGAAGATGCTCGATATCTGTATTTGAAATGCAAATCAAAACCATGATGAGATAGGGCCGGCCCCGTGGCTCACTCAGGAGAGTGTGGCGCTAGGAGTGCCAAGGCTGTGGGTTTGGATCCTATATAGGGATGGCTGGTGCGCTCACTGGCCGAGCGTGGTGCGGACCACACCGTGCTGAGGGTTGCGATCCCCTTACTGGTCAGGGAAAAAAAAAAAAAAAAACCCATGATGAGATAACGCCTATTAATATGACTACTATCAACAAAAGAAAACAAAACAAAACAAAGCACCCCCGCCCCCAACAAACTCAGAAAACAAGTGTTGGTGAGGATATGGAGAAACAGGAGCCCTTGTGCGCTGTCAGTGGGAACGGAAGATGGTGCAGCTGCCGTGTGAAACAGCACGGCGGTTCCTCAAAGACTGCAAAAAGAACTACTGTAGGTTTCAGCAATTCCACTTCTGGGTAAATTCCCAAAACAACTGAAAGCAGGGTCTTGAAAAGATATATATATATCTTTCAAAAAAAAAAAAAAAAAAATATATATATATTTTTTAAATTTTACTTATTGAATCAAAATCGATTATACATATTTTGGGGGTTAAACATTGAGATATGTTGATTAAATCAAAATTACTAGCATATATATTGTTACAAATCATAACATATATATTGTTACAATATATATGCCTCCCCTCCCCCCTCTAATTGCCCTAGATTTCTTCTCTCCTTCTGAAAGAATAATGGTTACTCTGTTAAATTGTTGCCTAGATGATCTGTCCAATGCAGTGAGGTGTGATCAGGTCCCCCAATATTATCAGAGCAGATGCTTCTTCTGTCACTCCAAAATGGGTCTTGTGGAAAGAGACATCCTCTTCTTTTCTTTATCTCTGCTGGTGACTCTTCTTGTGTGAATGCACTCCAGTGGTTGGTGGACCATCTGCATGGTGGTTGTGGTGTCTAGCCACTTTTGCAGCAGCCATGGTTATTGTGGTGGCTGTGGGGGGCCATCCACGTGGAGGTGCTGTTTTTGGCATGCTCCTTGGCACTGGCGGTATGCCTGGTTGTGGAGTGTGTTTGGTCCCCTTCTCCATGCCTCTGGTCCCTGGGCAGGCCCCAAGGCGCTGGCGCCATGTGCCTGGTTCTGGGAGAGGGGTCCAGTCCTCTTCTCCATGTCCCGGGTCCCTGGGAGGGCCCTGAGGTACTGGTGCAGTGTACTTGGGTGTGGGAGGAGGGTCCAGTCCCCTTCTCCATACCTTGGGTACCCAGGTGGGCTCCGAGGTGCTGGCATTTTGTGCCTGGTTGTGGGAGAGAGGTCCAGTCCCCTTCTCCTTGCCTTGGGTGCCTGGGTGGGCCCTGAGGTACTGACGTGGTGTGCCTTGTTGTGGGAAGAGGGTCTGGTTCCTGACTCCGTGCCTCGGGTCACTGGGTGGGACCCAAGGCACTGGCTCAGTGTGCCTGGCTGTGGAAGAGAGGTCTGGTCCCCTTCTCCTTGCCTCTGGTCCCTGGGCAGGCCCCAAGGTGCTGGAGTGGTGTGCCTGGTTGTGCGAGGGGGGTCCAGTCCCCTTCTCCATGCTTCAGGTGCCCAGACTGGCCCTGAGGCACTGGTGCAGTTTGCCTGGAAGTAGGAGTGGGGTCCGGTCCCTGGATCCAAGCCTCCAGTTCACAGACAGGCCCCAAGGTGCTGGTGGAGTGCCTGGGCTAGAACTAATTTTTTGTCCTTTGCTTCTAACACGGGGGAACTTCCTGTGGGAACCAGTACTTGAGTGTGTGGTTGTTTAAACTGCTACTTTGCTGTTGTTTCCCTAGGGAAGGCTTTTTGTGCAGCTCAGGGTTTAATGGTTGACCTTATAGGTACTTCTGGCTCTCCAGAGACCCGGTGGTTCTGTGCTCTGTAGAAACTCTGATCTGGGTCTGAGTTTTTTCATCAAACTGCACCCCATGCAAATCTGCATTCCCGACCAGTCTCCTCTGAGCGGTCCTGTGCTGACTGGGGGGCAGATCAGCTGTCCTTGCTGTGTCCCAGTGTTCCCCTGGTGGGCACGTCTCCCCCACCGCCCATGCTGCAAACACTTCCCGTGGGATGGGCCCTGCGCCGGTCCCTTGTGATGACTCAGGGGCCTCTGAGTGGCTCCCTTTTTTCAGTTGTTCTGGCTCCTCGCTCCTGCATGGGTCCACATGAACCCTATTAGTGGTCTTGTCCTGGGGCCGCCAAGGCCCTCTTCTCCCCTGCCGACTCCAAGTAACGCCATCTGAAGGGCACAGCTGCGGATTCTGCCGGCTCCTGCTCCTGCTCCATGTGCTTATCAGCTTGAGCCTTAAAGCAGTCACGGCCTGAAATGCTCAGAGCAGCTTTTTCTTTCTCTCATCATCATTTCTCCTGCCTTCATGAACTCCGTAGGTCTCTCCTCCTCTTCCCCTGAGCTCCAGCGGCCCCAGCTTGGTTGATGTTACATTTTTATAGTTGTAAATTGGTTGATTTGTGGGAGAGAGTGATGCTGCAGACCATCTATTCCACCATCTTGATTGGATCTTGAAAAGATATTTGTATGCTCGTGTTCGTGGCAGCATGATTCACAATAACCAAAAGGCAGAAGCAACCCAAGTGTCCATTGATGGATGAATGGATTAAACAAACTGTGGTCTGTACATATGATGGAATATGACTCAGCCTTAAAAAGGAAGGAAATTCTGGGCCGGGCCGGTGGCGCACTGCTACAGTGCGCCGCTTGGGAGCATGGCGGTGCTCCCGCCAAGGGTTCGGATCCCACATACAGACCGGTTCCCGCTCACTGGCTGAGCGAGGTGTGGGAGCAACACCGAGGGTTGCGATCCCGTTGCCGGTCCCGGTCCGGTACGGGCGCGACACTGAGGGTTGCGATCTGTTGCCGGACACGAAAAAAGACAAAAAAAGGGAAAAAAAAAAAAAAGGAAGGAAATTCTGACACATGCTACAACATGGATGAGTCTTGAGGACATTATGCTGAGTGAAATATGCAAGTCACAAAAAGACCAAATACAGTGTGATTCTGCTTACATGACATACCTACCTAGTAGCCAAATTCACATAGAAGAAAGGAGAGTAGTAGTGTTAGGGGCTGGGGGGAGGGGGAGTTTTTGTTTAAGGGGTACAGAGTTTCAGTTCTACAAGGAAAAAGTTCTGGAGACCCATCCTTTCCAGAGCATTTGTTACTATCTCCCAGGATCCCACCCCATGGAACACAATTTGGAAAATGTTAGTCTACTGGCCTGATATTTTTATTTGTCTTCTTACTCTTTTTTTAAAAAAAATTCAATGATCATCCACGTACGCACCCCTCAGTGTAAGAAAAACAACATAGATAACCCCCCCCAGTGTACCTTTCCTCAGCTGCCTCTCTCTCAGTGTGTGTGTGTGTGTGTGTGTGTGTGTGTGTGTGTGTGTGTGTACACATACTTTTTTTTTTTTTGATGACATGGGGATCCAAATCATGACCTTGGGGTTACAAAGCTGCTCTCTAACCAACTGAGCTCACCAGCCAGCCTAGATACAGCATCTGAATTTGATAATTATCCTTCCTGTATATATCATCACTACAACATCACTACACCTCCCTAAGCCTTACAGAGGACTATTTTGCATGTTTTTCAACTTTGTATAAATGGCATCATATGGTACATATTCTTTTCCAGCTTGATTTTTTTACTCAAGATTATATTTATGAACAATAATTTAAAAGACTCTGCATTGCTTCAAGACATTCCCATCCTAATGTTTAATGACAGGAGAAAACAAGATGGGAACAGCAGTTCATAACGATCATCATTCTTAATAACATTGTCACCGTATGGTGCCTAGAGACTTCAACTGACACCACAGCTTCCAGTGGGAGACAAGAACATTTCTGCTGGAACATGACATGACTACGTTTTACCTTCACCATAGGAACGTACTCCTCTGGTGGGGCTGGCTGGATTTTACTGGACATCTCGATGACAGCTTTCACCAGGCCCGTCACGTTCTCGTAAACCTTGTCATTGGACCGGTCCAGGTTGGCTGTAGGAGGAGGGCTGATTTCCTGGGGCTGAAGCTGACAATACAGAAGCCGGTCATTTCTCTACTCTCCAGTAGATGGCGTAATATCACCACAATTAAGTTAGAGAGGGTCTTTAAAAGAGATCAAAGCAGATCGCTTAAGATAATTTTGTTTGTTCGAGATAAAGCTCAGATTGAGGATGACAGTAATTCATCCAAGTGATAAATAAGTGAGGCAAATTTTTTTCTAACTGAGCTCAGTTAAAGGAAATGAGATGGAATCATACACACTACACTAAAACCCTCAGATTCTTTCAGATATCTGATTCAAAGTCCCTCCCTCCTGTACCAAATCATTCACCACAAGAGAAATTTTAGAGAAAGTTACTTACTTGGCTAAAGGGTCAAACGTTCTAAATTAAGTCTCTAAAAATTTCTACTTAGTTTAAATTCTGCAGTAAAAATTGTACGCAATGAATACATGTGTTCTTTCTACAATTATAAAAAGCTGACACACAGTCTGCTTTAAGCAGACACCACGTGCTTGCAGAGTGCTATTGAAGTCAAAGCAGCAGTGGTGAGGCCAGGAGCCTTGGCTCCAGCCTTCTGCACTGTCCGTGCAGTGTGCTTGTGCCTACATGCCTCAGCGCCCCCCCTTGGGCAATAGCAATGAAGGGGAGATGAAACCACAGATGTAAAAATTCCCACCCAGGGCCTGGACACAGAGGGGACATTGAATGTTACCCCAAATCATGTGAGCACTGGAGGTGGATTAACATGAGGGCCCTTGGGAACTCTTCAACAGTATTTAAAAATTCAAATTGCTTAGAATTACACTGGGCACAAAAAGAACAGGATGTATGTGTGTGTGTGTTTATACACATATAAATATCTACAAGGACTAAACTACAGTACCTAATATTTTCTCATGATGAACCTGTTGCCAGTGCTCAGTCTAAACTTAAGCTCCCTTTCCTGAGCTTTGAGTGCCTCTGCCCAAATAGTCTGCAACAGATTGAGTCTGTTCTTTGTTGTTCCCATGTCTGGGTGTGAGATAGAAAAGGACAAGAATAATTCATTCACTGCAAAGATGATCATGTCTCATTGTCTGGCAAACAGAAATACAGTTTTTGGCACCTGGCAGTCGTGAGAGGTGACGGACCAAGCACAAGCACCCTCCCCCTGGCTTCCCATTTCCCGCTCCAGAGTCTCATGCAAAGAGCTGGGCGTGGTAAAGAGAGCTGGACGGACACACAGAGACATGGTGTGCTTACCCTCCACGGCTATTGTCGAACAGAAGGTGAGGAAAAGTTAAAGGAATTTATCAGAGAAAGGGAAAAAAGAAAAACAATATTAATAAAGGCGGCAGACAAAACCCCCATAAAAACACGAGCAGAACAAAAAAGAGCTAGTTTCGAAGCCTGCCTACCGCTCTCAGCTCGCTGGTTATCAAAGCATATTTGCTTCTGCCATCTGTTCAGTGCCCCAGCACATTAAATAAAGAGGTCTGTCATGCACCATGCTCGTTTTCATGAAATAAATGAGGAAAACATGCAAAGCCTGAGAGTAACGATCTGGCAGCAGTGCAAGAATCAACAGAATTAGGGCTCTTCAAAAAGGGAGGAGGAGGATATATGCTTTTAATTACTGAAAACTGCCTGTCTGAATCCTGAGAGATTCAGGAGAAACTGCACGACCGTCAGTTCCTGCCCCTGGCCCCTCAATGTCCTCACTAATCTGATGCTTTATAGAGCCAGTACACGTTTTGAGGAGTCTTAAATTTAGAGGTTTCAATCCTCCACCATGTGTTTACTGTGCACTAGAAAGGAGGAGGTAATTTATAACTGCATCATTTCTAAGAGATGACTTCCTGTTTTTTACTATTTGCACTGAGAACCATGGCGCACAGTCTTTTCCAGAACTTTGTAGAATGTGCCAGTTCAAACTTCATTGACACAGAAAGGCCCGGGGCTTCCTGAGGAGGACACCACAGGGAGCATTCCATCAAGAACGGTGACAATTCTGCAGCTCTAGGAGGTGGAGAGAGGTTTATTTGAACCCGTGTAAAGCTTCCATTCTTTTGTACTTTACCCTTTGTCCAGCTCTTGTCATAAAAGGCCACTGTCATAATGCTTCTAGGGACCATTCACAGTGACATTCTAGAAGCAAAGCTTAGTCTGGACAGACATCTGTCATTGGTTTCCTATGTTCTGGAGCTTGACAACATTGAAACTCCTTGGCTGGCAGTTAATAACAAACCGCTGCCCACAGCCAATTCCAACCACTCAGGTTGATGCTTAAAGGCTCAGAGGATTAAAAACCAAAACATAAAGCCACCAAGAAAAAACAGAGATTGATTCCTGGCTAAATGTTATTTGGATGAATCATTTTAGTTATATATAGTTAAGAGTAAGCATTTTTAAAAATTAAAACAACATTTTTTTTTTAGGCTGGATTTGATAACCTCTACCAGATAATGAAAAAATACAGGCATATATTTCACATCTGTTAATTACTTAAAAATCTTTACTTAATATTTCTTGAGTAAAAATATTGTTTCCATCAAGATTTCTACTTCTTTAATACCCTGTAAGAGGGTATTCCCAATTATATTCATTATGTTATTCCAACTGTGAAAAATGAACATATGTCAGAATTCTAAGGTGGTAACTGATCTACTTCTAAGGTTGGTTTTTCAATATAAATCAAGTCATTTTGAAAGTCTGCTCTTATGGTTTATGAAAATAAAAAAGTTTACTAACCTAATTTCCTCCCTCTTTCCTTTTTTAAAATTTATTTGAAGAAATCACAAAGGAAGGGTAGTGTCCTTCCTCGATTCTCCCCTGAGAATACCCAGGGTGCTGCTAACAGAGCCACTGGGAGGCATCCCTGGGAGTGGAAGCCCGGGAGCTGCGGAGGCTGCTCCCACTTCCGGGAGCTACCCACTTGCCAGCATGTGCTCTTGGCACCAAGCCCCGGAGCAGTGGCTTCTCCGGCCCAGCTATCCTGGCACTATGTCTGGCAGGGAGGCTAGTCCATGTCAGTGCCAGCCCGCTCACTCTGTGGCCACCTTCTGAATGAACCCCAGCCCTCTGAGCTGCAGGCTGACTCCTAACTCTGCGCCTGAAGATGACAGTTTTCTTTTCTCCAGGAGTAACTCTGACTCCTCTGAGAGGACAGTACATGTACTTCTAACCAGGAATCAGCCAGAGGTGGTTTTGGAGGTGGGACCCTTGAACAGAAGCACACGTGTGCAGCCAGCCAGATCTACGACTAATGCTGGCTCAGCTATGTGGGGGCTGTGTAGCCCTGAACAACCTGCCTCACCTCTGTGAGCCTTGGCTGCCTCATATGAAAATAACACCACCACCAGTCTTACGAAGCTGATGCGAGGATTTAAAGGCCTGTCACAGCACTTGGCACAGGGAAAGCACTCAATAAACAGTGGCTATTGGTACAACAAAGTTTATTTTAACCCGATGCCACATTTATCAGATTTTAAGATGCCACCACTATAAGATGCATCCTTTATTTATGCACCAAGAAAGAAACAAATGCTGCCCATTAAACCAATACACTATTCCAATTTTAGAGATATTAAAATGTGAAAAAGATGTCTATCAGATTGAGAAATGGGATGTATTTAAGAGTAGTGGAGAGCAGAAAGACCCCCTCTCCTTGAACTGGCCAGGCTAGGGAGGGAGAGACCCCCTTCTTCATTTCCCAGAAAGGAAAGCCACTCCTCAGCCATGTGAGTGACTCCAGCACTCTGCAGGGGTGTGGTGGGGACCCAGGAGAGTCACAGACACTGATGGCTCCAGATGCACACCCCTTGGGGGCAGGCAGCAACCGAAGAGGCTCCCAAACCAAGGAGAAGCTTGTGGTTCTCTGCACCTGAGTCGAATGCTCCCCTGGGTCTAAGGACATATCTTCCTAGTGCACGTAGCTTTGACAAATACAATTCTGACACCAGGTGGAAAATAATGTCCATTTTCCATGAAACCACATTTAGAAACTTGGAGGCAGTGAGGATATAGAAGGTCCTCATATACCCCAGGCATCCTAGTTTCATTAATTTTTAAAACCGGAAGAAACTCAGCACTTTATTCCAAACAAACTTTCTGCCTGATTGCAGGAAGATGTATGAAGAAAGTTAGGATCTCAGTTCCTAAAATCTACCACACTGAGAGAAAAACAGAAAAGAAAATGTTCATGTAAAGCTTTTCCCTGCCTCTCAGGAGGGTTAAGAACCAGGCCAGCCGACTCTTGGACCCACTGCAATCCTACTCTGCGCCAGCCCTGTTTTCAGCCCCGACTCCACTCTATGATACAAATGTCATCAACAAGAACTGAGGGACTCCACAAACCCCGCGAGCAGAGTGTGCTGCACAGGCTCACATGCCCACCTTGACGCCCTCATTGTAACTGTCCCCAGGGCTGCTCAGGCTGGCAAGGCTGCCCAGGTGACCAGGGGCTCCAGGACGCGGTGGTTTCTTTGGTGGAGCTGCAGGATCTAGTAAAATGGAATGATTCCCATTAAGTGACGTTTACGTTAATAAGGAGAAAGTAAACAACTCTCAAACGTACACCAATTGGCATTATAACAACAGTCACTAATTTTGCATTCTAAAGAAGCATTTCTGAAGCATTATAGCACAATATTCTAGTCATGGGCTGACTGTGGTAAACACTGCACTTGCTGTGGTCTGTAGAAGGAAAGTGATAAAAAATCATGAGGGCATTCTGAAGCTAGGATGCTACAAAAGTTTAAAACTTGCTTCTGCCCAATTATACAAACTTCTTTACACACAGTTCACATCTTCATTTACCTGGTTTCCCCACAGGCTGATATATGTGTTGGTTTCCAGTCTGTGGGACAAGAAAAGTTCAGTCAGTGCACAGCTGTGTAAAACAGAGTAATGTCCTTCCCTCTCCCACCCTGTCCATCCACCCCCTTGAACATTTGTGCTAGATGCAAGACAGGGTCCTGCCTTAAGGTCTCAGCTGGGGTGGAGAATTAGGCAAATAAGCCAATAATGCCCATAAGGCGTGTGAAAGCACTGTACCAGAGGCAAGCATGGGACACCCTGTGACCACTAGTGGGGGTGTCATACCACTTTAACTCCTTTCTACACGGCTGTTTCTAGTTTACCTAAAATGTTCCCGACCACTCTCATAACATTAAGGGAGGCAACCAGATCGATGATGACCAGAAGGGACCTAGTGACACCAGGGTATCTAGACAGCCCGTGGGCCTACGTTGTCGTCTTCCCAAAGCACAGTGTGCGTCAGGGCCTGGAGTTAACCTCCACCAGTTCTGGGCCAAACCAGAGGCCAAGTCAGAAAGGCCAAACCACAGCACTGAATTTCTGCCCGAGGGATGGGATAAAGACAGTTCTACGTAAGAACAGTCTTCCTGCAGGTTGTCATGGCTGAAGCTGCATTTAAAATAATCTATCTGAGCCTAACTGTGTGGAAAAATAAGTCTTTTTAGAACTATTCTACTTCTTTTTTTTTTTTTTTCCTTTTTGTCTTTTTTTGTGTCCGGCAACGGATCGCAACCCTCAGTGTCGCACCCGTACCGGACCGGGACCGGCAACGGGATCGCAACCCTCGGTGTTGCGCCCGCACCTCGCTCAGCCAGTGAGCAGGAACCGGTCTGTACGTGGGATCCGAACCCTCGGCGGGAGCGCCACCACGCTTCCCCAGCGGCGCACTGTAGCAGTGCGCCGCCGGGCCGGCCCAGAACTATTCTACTTCTTTTTTTTTTTTTTCCTTTTTGTCTTTTTTCGTGTCCGGCAACGGATCGCACCCCTCAGTCTCGCACCCGTACCGGACCGGGACCGGCAACGGGATCGCAACCCTCGGTGTTGCGCCCGCACCTCGCTCAGCCAGTGAGCAGGAACCGGTCTGTACGTGGGATCCGAACCCTCGGCGGGAGCGCCACCACGCTTCCCAAGCGGCGCACTGTAGCAGTGCGCCACCGGGCCGGCCCAGAACTATTCTACTTCTGAAAAGACTTTTCTTACTTATTTGAAAATAACCAGTGGTTAATATATATATAATTTAAGGTGATTTACTTTGTACTGGAAAGAGACCTAGTTCCTTAAAATACAAGAGCGATGAGCTAGCACACACAATTAACATTGCTGCTTCCCTCAGAATCAGTTGTTTTCAACATTCCCTTTAACATCCTTGATTTCAAGGACTTGCAAAACCCCTCAGAGCTTGAAGGTGTGAAGAACGATTCCTTAACAACTTATCTTCGTGTAGTGCTTTCTACTTTTCATATCACTTTCATATCAATCAGCTATTCCACAAATGGTTACTGCACATCTCCTTTGTTCCAAGTACTGTTCTAGGTACAAAACAAAGAACCTGTGGAGCTAATGATGCAGAGGAGGGAGTTGGATAACAGGCACGAAGTGGACATCACTGCACATTACTCAGTCTGTAAAAAGACACTGTCCAGCGAAGAGAGGAGGCGGCTGGGGGTGGAAGGACAGGACTGCAGTTTTTTTTTTGCTTGTTTTTGTTTTTAAAAGCTGACTGGTGGGCCGGTCCGGTGGCGCACTGGAGAGTGCGCCGCTTGGGAGTGCGGCAGCGCTCCCGCCGAGGGTTCGGATCCCATGTGGAGACCGGTTCCCACTCACTGGCTGAGCGCGGTGCGGGTGCAACACCGAGGGTTGCGATCCCGTTGCCGGTCCCCGGCATGGGCCTGACACCGAGGGTTGCGATCCCGTTACTGGTCAGTAAAAAAGACAAAAAGGAAAAAAAAAAAAAAAAAAAGCTGACTGGTAAGGGGATCTTAACCCTTGACTTGGTGTTATCAGCACCACGCTCTCCCAAGTGAGCTAACCGACCGTCCCTACGTAGGGATCCGAACCTGTGGCCTTGGTGTTATAAGCACCGCACTCTCCTGAGTGAGCCACAGGCCGGCCCCAATGTTGTTTTATATATAAAGAAAAATGTTTAAAAGATTTTAAGGGCCGGCCTGGTGGCGCACTGCTACAGTGCGCCGCTTGGGAGTGCGGTGGCGCTCCCGCCGAAGGTTCGGCTCCCACATACCGACCGGTTCCCGCTCACTGGCTGCGCGAAGTGCGGGGGCTATACATAGA